TCCTTGGTTGTAATCCAAGCTTCTTTGCCTTACGGAATATTATATTCCACACCCTATGGTCTTTTAATGTAGAAGCTGCAAGGTCCTGTGTAATCCTGACTGTGGTTCCATGATATTTAAATTGTTTCTTTCTGGCTGCTTGCAGTATTTTCTCTTTGACCTGGTAATTTTAGAATTTGGCTTACTATATTCCTTGGTGTTTTCAATTTGGGTTCTCTTTCAGGAGGTGATTGGTGGATTCTTTCTATGGCTATTTTATCCTCTGGTTCTAGGACCTCAGGGCAGTTTTCCTTTATGATTTCCTGAAAGATACTATTCAGGCTCTTTTTTTTCATTGTGATTTTCAGGTAGACCAATAATTTTTAAATTGTCTCTCCTGGATCTATTTTCCAGGTCAGTTGTTTTTCCAATTAGATATTTTACATTTTCATCTATTTTTTCATTCTATTGTTTTTATTTGACTGATTCTTGCTCTCTCATAGAGTCAGTAGCTTCCATTTGCTCAATTCTAATTTTTAACACATTGTTTTCTTCTATTAGATCTTATACCTCCTTCCCCATTTGGCCAATTTTATCTTTTTAGGGACTTGTTTTCTTCAGTGTAGTTATTTTCCAGTTGACCAATTGTATTTTTTAGGGACATGTGTTCTTCAGTGTACTTTTTTTTTCCAGTTGGCCAATTGTGTTTTTTAAGGACTTGTTTTCTACAGTCAATTTTTGTCCTTCTTTTTCCAAGCTATTGACTCTCTCTTACATACCTCTCATTTCTTTCCCCATTTTTTCTTCTACCTCTCTCATTTGACTTTTAAAATCCTTCTTGAGCTCTTCTAAGAAGGCTTTTTGGGCTTCAGACCAGTTCATATTCCCTTTTGAGGTTCCATATGTGGGTTTGTTGACAATGTTGTCCTCTTCAGAATTTCTGCATTGATCTTTACTCTTCCCATAATTAGAATCTATCGTATGTTTCTTTTTGCTCATGTTTGCTTATTTCCTGGCCTTTAAAGAGATTGAGCTCTCCTGCTGGGGAACAGAAGGCAATGACCCAAGCTTCTTCTGTTGGAAGCCTAGGGCCTATTCGATGGTTTTGTGTGCTGGGGCCTCCAATGTTGGCAGTTGGAGGCTGTAGGATTCTGGCAGCTTACCTGGTGTTGGGCTGGAATTAGCAACACTGGAACTCTAGGGGTAGGATTGGGTAGTGTGGCTCCTGGAGATTTTCTGCTCACCCAGGCCTTTCCTTCCTTTTGCTTTCTTCAGCTCCTTTCAGATGGATGTTGTAGGGTGTTTATCCACCTGGGGCCCTTTGGAGCACTGCTTCCCTTAGTTTTGCTGAGACACTGGAAGAGCCAGTTGCTGTAGAATGCTGAGGCACCTGGTGGTTTTCTGAGCTGGTTTCCACCAATTCCCTCATCCTCAACGAGGTACTCAGAGGTACAGGTGTTGGTGTTTGCCTGCTCCACCACCTGGGCTTCAGGATCTATTCCTGGTATGCTGAGGTGGGGCTTTCTACTAGCTTGCTGGGATGTCTCCCATTCTGTGCTGCTCCCCTTCCCCCAAGGTAAGAGGGGCCTTTCCAGTTAATTCCTCAAGCTACCTGGGCTACTGGACTGCTGCACCCCATCTTTCTTCTAGTTCAGCTGTTCCAGAGTTTTTCCTGGGGTGATATTTTCTGGGCCTTCAGGGGTTAATAGGGGAGGGTAAGAGAGAGTCACCTCTTACTCCACCATATTGGCTCCCAGAAGCAGAAGTAAGAGTACTTAATTTTGGAAACCTGTATGATCTTAGGCAAATTTCATCTCATTTTCCTTAAATGTAAACTGAGGGGGCTAACTAGCAATCTCTTCTCAATGATCCCTTCCAGCTCTAAATCCTAAGAACCTGTGTTTTGTTTTTTTTTTTTTGTGGGTAAGGTTTGACAGTTTTGCCCTCTTCAATTTGATATTTATTACTCCAATGTGTTAACTATGCCTCCTGGATTCAGTGGAGTGATCACATTGGCTTATTACAAAACAAATCCCTATGTGCCATGGAGAGTGGAACTTTCTGGATTAAAATAGGTGTATTTATTTCAAAAGTAATATTTTAAAAATCCCATTAAAGAAAAAAAACCCAGGTAACTTTATATCTTGCCTACCTCTAGCCCTGACTCTGTGGTTATATACTTTTAAGCAAAATATCCAAAACATTCATTTGAAAGCAAACAAAATTACAAACAGTAAAATTTATTTTTCTAGGTTTGAGAATTTTGAGACAGGAGCAACATTTGTCAGTGGGTGGGCAAACCTGACCTTCATCTGTTGAATGAAACCATTTATTCATTTATTCAGGGAACATTAGTGAAGCATTGCAAGCAAGAGATAGAGATGAAATAAAACATAATCTTTGCTCTTATTTTTATACAAAAAGAGAAATGACACATATACAGTAATCGTAATACAGATTAGAATATTATGAACTGTTATACAGGGTCCTAGGAGTGAGAAAAATCACTTTTGGCTAGAGGGATTAGGGAAAGTTTTGGGGAAGGGGCCTTGGGAGATGACCCTTGAAGCATGGGCAGTATTTTCAACAAGTAAACAGTAAGAGTCCTTTTCTCATGTGGGCTACAGTGAGCAAGAAGGATATGGAAGAAGTAAATGGGAAAAGGGGGGAAAAGGGAATAAATGAGAACAACTAATGAGTTGTGTAATTATTGTCCAAATTATTTTATCTTTCTGACTTTGTTTCCCATAGGGTTAATAACATCACAGGGCTGTTATGAGGCTGAAACTAGATAAAGTCAATGTCAGAATAATGACACTATCAGAAAGCTCTGTGTTTTGACTGAGGTCACACAGACAATAGGTAACTGACCTGGGATTGAAACTCAAGTCCTTTGGATTCCAGATCCAAAGTTCTTTCTATTAAGATTTTTTGGAGGCAAATTGGATAATGTTTTAAAAAAATCCACAAACATAGGTCATGTCTTCTTTCAATTTTACCTGTCTTTAAACAAACATTCCTTTTAGATTGCTTCTTCAATAAGCATTGATTAAACTCTTACTATTTGTGGCATTTCCCCCTCACTGAGTTGTCCATGTATTATACATTTATAAGAATCTACATGTAATAGGCACATATATAGATTTTTTCATCACAAAATTTGCTACTCAGCTATCATTGTTACATTTTAAAGATCCAAAGAAGGCACAATATGAACACCCAGCCCAACAGAAATAAAGAACACTGCAGCAAACTTGCAAAACTCTTGTGTCTTAGATCTTATCTAACTTTCAAAGCCTGAGACTCTCAGAGCTGTGTTTCTTTAAGGCAGAACTAATGAAGAAAAAAATTTGCTAACATAGTAAACTTAGTGCATTTGTTTTCTCAAAATCACCGATTTGCAGAATTTCTGAAGTTGAAGGAACTTTTGGGGCCATCTGGTCCAATCCATACCTGAGTAAGAATCCCCTTTACTCAATTAGTGGTTTTCTGCAAACAAGTTTTTTTTTTTTTGAACACTAAACCCTTTATTCCTAGATCTAATAATACTGTGGTTGAGTCAGGCAAAGATCTAAGGTTCTCAGCCTTTTAGCCTTGACTACCACCAATGTGAATGAACAGTGAATGTGTGTGCAGATTTTTCATCCTAGTGTGCCAGGTGACTCTAGGTGGTATCACCTTTTAGCAGGTCTTACCAAGCCAGAAATGCAATGATTATGATTATAGTGATGATTTATTCAGTTATCTGACTCTTCGTGACCCCATTTGGGGTTTTCTTGGCGAAGTTACTGCAATGGTTTGCCATTTTCTTCTCCAGTTCATTTTACAGAAGAGGAAACTGAGGCAAACCTTGCTTAGGGTCACACAGCCAGTAAGTATCTGAGGCCAGATTTGAACTCATGAAGATCAGTCTTCCTGACTCTAAGCCCGGCACTTTATCCACTGTGCCACCTAGCTGCCTATGGTGGTGATAGCCAGCATTTATATAGTGCCTATTATTGCTTTACAAATATTATTATGTTTGATCCTTATAATAACCCTACTATATGTAGGATATATACTCAGTAATATACTGTGTTTCTAGGGTGGGAGGACCGGCCTAGCCTACTCTGAAGAGTCCCATCACCAGGTTGGTTGCATGGCAGAGTGCTTTTCTACCATGTCCACTTCAAAATCTACCTCAGACACTAACTAACTGTGTGACCTTGGCCAAGTCACTTAACCTCTGTTAGCTTCAGTTTCCCCATATGTAAAACAGAGATAATAAAAGTGTCCACCTCCCAGGCTTGATATGAGGATCAAAAGAACTAATATGTGTAAAGCACATTCCAAACCTTAAAGTGCTATATAAATCCTATAGTTGATTATTGTATTAATTATTTATTCTTTATTTTACAATATAATAATATTAATTATCATTATTCCTAACTTAGAGGGGACTTGTGATTTGTGTTGGTGAAAGGAGAACCCATGCCTCTCAAGAATCTCTGAAGTATTGAAGAAGTAAGACTTTTTAAAATGTGATGGGAATTTTATGAAGACCAAATGAGGAAATAATTGATTTTTCATGATGAAAGTTTAGCCAAAGTTGACAAAAACTATCACTGTTTAGTATGACAGTCTTGTGAATATGGACTTCACTCTGAATATGGAAGAATGACTTCACTTTCTTAATATTGTTATTGCTGATAGAGAAGTAATTTTGGTGGGAAGAATATATCATAATCCTGATAACTTCATAAAAGTGGATTTAGAGACCAATCTGTTTCTAGATCCTATAACCTGTAATAGTTACATTGCTTGATGAGGGTAAACACTGGTTCTCTTTTTTCTCTTTTTATCACGGTGCATCACCCAGACATGTTTTTGTCTACATCATCAGAACAGGAGAGAATACTCCAGAGACCAAGAAAACCAAAGGCAGAAAGACAAATCATTTGGAAGGTTTAATAGCATTAAGAAAAACTTAAAAGAACAATGATTTTTCTTTTCTAATTCTGTCTTGAAAAATGTTTTGACAGCTCTGACCTGCTTTCTTCATGAATCCTTGACTTTGAAATCAAACCTGGTCTTAATACCCAGCAGGTGTCATCAGGGTTCTTGGATCAGTAGCTGAAGGAAAACTGAGATGCAGGTGAGAGGGGATTAATTTGATTACTTCATGGCATAACACATCTATGAATATTAGAATATAGAAGGAGATGGATATTCAGGTTTAGATCAGGAGTATCTGAATGGAGGAGGCCTGGAGTTTAGGTTAAGGATGGCTATTCATCTAGAAGTTCAAATGCTCGTCTCCCAGAGTCTGACAAAAGGGTTGTCAGCCTCATGAGGGCAGTCTGTTTCTATTTGTGAATGTCTGGCTCTTCTCTGAGCAATAATAATTTTGAAAGCATAGACTCTCATGTAATATCTCAACACTTCATTTTCTGATACTGGTGCAAAATTGGAAGTGGGCTAAACTTCTCAGGGCATCAAAAAGTAAAGATTTACTAGGTATTCAATTGTTTTTTTAAATAGCAAGGATCCTGAAAATGAGAGTTTTGCATTAGAGTGAAATTCATATAAATTTTTCAGTTCTTTGTTATATAATTCAATTTAAAACATATACATATAATACATCCACATATGCATATATATGTGCATCTGTATGTGTATGTGTGTGTCAATACGTAGATACATTTGTGATCCACATGTATGCTATAGGTATACATGTTATATAACACACGTATATGCACATATTATAGATGTGCACGTGTACACATTGCACATGTACATATATGTATATACATGCATATATGTACAAGTACACACATGTGTATAATACATTCTTCTATATAATATGTAAATATATGCCCAGTATATATATGTGAATGTCTCATATATGCTATGTATATACCTCATAATAATATGTATATATACTATATAATATGTGTATATATATATGTCTCTGTGTGTGTCTATATGTCTATATGTATGTATATGTCTTTATGTGTGGGTATATATAAATCTATCTATCTATATCTTAATCTCTATATTTATCTCTCTGACTCCACTGTGTGCAGGGCACCATGGTACTCCTTGGTGATACAAAGACAAAATAAAACAGTTCTTACCCTCAAGGAACTTACATTCTATTGCAATGATATAATATTTGTATACTTAAATATAGGTTGAAGACGGACAGGGGATTGATAACTGGAGAAAGGTCTTCTGTAAGGAGTTGACACCTGAGCTATGGATCTAAGGGGAAGAGGGAGTACATTCCAGAAACTGAGGTCCATTTGTGCAGACAGACATTGAAGTGGGGATAGAACATCACAAATAGGAAACAGCTAGTGGGCCAGTTTGACTAAAACAAAAAGCACAGGAAGGGGAGTATTATGAAATGACTGGAAAGGTAGATGTGAGCCAGATTGTGGAGGGCTTTAAATTCTGGGCTTAAGATTTTGCATTTTATTCTAGAGGCAATAGGGAGCCATTGTTCTTTTTTGTTGGGGTTTGGGGGGGTGGGGGTGGGAGAGTAGTGACATAGGTTTATTAAGAATCTGGCAAATGTTTGGAAGATGGACTGAAGAGGGAAGGAAGGGGATGGAGGTGAGGAGACAAAATATAGATCAGAACTTTGTCATGCTTTTTTTCCTCTTCTTTCTTCACAGGTAAGTACTTTATTAATTTATTTTTTTCCCGTTCCTTTTGTATATGAGAGGAAAATAAAACATCTTTACATTGATTTAATTTAAAAGGACTAGATTTAAATCTGGTCAGTTTTTCATGAGGTAATGATAAGTAGGGCAGCTTGGCAAAGTGGATAGAGCACTGGGCTGGGAATCAGGAAAACTCATCTTCCTGAGTTCAAATCCGACCTCAGACCCTTACAAGCTGTGGGACACTGGGCAAAACCCTGTTTGCCTCAGTTCCTCATCTGTAAAATGAGTTGTAGAAGGAAATGGCAAACCACTCCAGTATCTTTGCCAAAAAAAACCTCAAATGGGGTCATGAAGAGTTAGACGTTACTGAAATGACTGAACAACAAAATAATGAGTCAAGGACCTTTCTGGGCTCTCTTCATGACTCTGCTGTTGCTTTCCTGGGATCCTGCGAGGAAAAATCATTTCCCTCTGTCAGCCAGGCAAAACAGGGACAATACCATTTACCAGCTGCTTAAGGATAGTTTGAGTTTTAATGAGAAAATAAAAGGAAAATGCCTCGCCTATTCAAGAGATCAGCACAGAATAGTGTAATCAATAAGACAGTGGATTGCTTTTTTTTTTTTTGAGTGTCTGTGTATTGGCATAGTATAGTGTTGAGTAATGTGTGTCTTTAGGCAGTCTGATCTAATCCTCCTTACTGGATCACTTCCACTTTACACTCTCCCAGGGAACAATATATTAAATACAGTATTTTGAATTATCTGTTGAATCCTACTGTCTGGTTTTGGCAAGTCTCAAGGAAAATAAGAATATTCCTTAGAATCGTTTGGAACTTTCCCAGGGAGGCCTGCTTCATACTGTGGGAAACACTGGTTCAGAAGATAACACTCCCAGGACTCCTGGTTCAGAAGACACTGAGAGAAAAAGACTACATGCTGAAAGTTTGGGAGACACAGAAGTCAGACATAGATGATTTTGCCTATCACAGGAGCCGGAGAAGTCCAAATTGTGTGCTGCCCTTTCCATATGTTGGTATAAGTCGTTTCCTTTTGAACTACTCCCTGTTTATCAGGCCCTCATCCTGTTATGTTAACATGCTGAACTTGGAGGAGCTAATGTATTCACATAATGTGACAAGAGAGAAAATGTGGAGGATAGCAAATCGAGAGGACTTTGAGTAGCTACGAAGTCTACAATGCAGTTTGATCTGGTCCTGCTGTACAGTAAAGCTATCCTAAGCTTCAAGACTGGGACAAAACGTCAGGCTATTTTTAAATATAAGAATAACAATGGCTAGCATTTTTAAGGTCTTGAGGTTTACAAAGCACTTCTTGTGTTACCTCATTCACAATGACCCTGTGAGGATTATAGTTATTATTGAAGCCATTTCACAGTTGAGGCTATACAAATAATTCAGTCAGTCAATAGGCATTTATTAAGCACCTACTATATGCCAGATACTGTACTAAGCTCTCTAGATACAAGGAAAGGTAAAATACAGTATAAATGATTTGCTCAGGGTCACACAGCTAAGTAAGCATCTGAAGTAGGATTTGATATCCAACTCCAAAACTATCTAATGTATCACATAACTGCCTATCAAACATTGATGGCTTTAGATAAATTTAGCTTTAAGATATAAGAGTAAAACAAATGTAAAATGTAAGGGGGTGAATAGCAACACAAATGAAAAATAAGACTTGGAGAGACTCTTTGAAAACTTGTGTACTGTGATAAAAAATAATAAAGTTTAACAAAGACTACTCTCAAGACAGATTGTTAGATAACATTATTCAGGTGTCGTCTTGTGTCTTAAGAATGTCACACATGGGTTTTTGGCACCTATAAAATGTATAAAATATAATATTGACAATATTCATCTTGATACTAAAGTGGAACTCTTCAAGAGTTAAGATGTACCACTGTCATATCTTATCAGATGATCTCTTTTCAATTTAAGGTCTTCCAAAAAGGCATTGTTATCCTTAGGTATATAAAAGCAAAAATCATAGAGCATGTTTTGTTCAATACCAGTTGTTAATGATACTACTTATGTGAAGACTATTGAGTGAGTGGATCCTGGCAGATAGTATCAAAGGAAGTGACAAGAAATTTGTGTATTAGTCTGCTGTTATCTAGGGTACCTTTTTCGGAAGCTATAACCTCTATACAAGTGAGGGAGGAAAGAAGGAAGGAAGGGAGGGAGGGTGAAGGCAGGAAAGGGAAGGAGAGAGGGAAGGAAGGGGAAGGAAAGGAAAGAAAGAGAGAGAGAGAGAAAGAAAGAATGAAAAATTTATCAAGTGCTTACCATATGTTTACCACTAAATTATTTGCTTGACATACAAATATAAGCAAAACAAAAGACAGTCCCTGAAGGAGCTCACATTGTAATGGGGGAAGACACTGCACAAAAAGTAGCTAAAAGTGATTGGGGTTGGGGGGGGGAGAAGAAATAAAGGTACTTTACCCAGCTTGGGGCATGGTTTTGAAAATCAGAAAGTCAGGAATAGTGCTAGGAGGAGAATGAAGGTAGGCCAACTTGGGCCATTCCACGAAATAGAGGCTCCTAGAGGAACTCATCAGTGGGAAAAGTGGCCATGAATCTTAAGAAGGGATATTTTAGAGGGAACAGGCCAAAGGGGTAATAGGTTATTTCAGGTCAAGGAGGCTCCAGGCATGAAAAGAAGGTCTAGAATGAGCCAGGAATAGAGAAGGCATGATTTTGAAATCCAGAAAGTCAGGAACAGGGCCAGGAGCAGAATCACTCAATGAATTTCTCCATTGTACTTGTCTCAGACATGAACAAATTTTGATTAAAAAAAAGTTTCTTGGAATCGATTATTAGATCCAGAACACACTGTAGGACTGAGGGTCCTTAATTCATTTAAATTCAACTGCTGAAAAATTATGCTAGGACGTATACATCAACATCTGCTCACATTTCATGTTATGCCATCATTATGGGGTAGAGTGGAGATGGGTGGAGAGCTGGAGGGAGAGAGGAACAGGAATCTAATATTTGAGCCTGCATTATGGTAAGATGTCATTTTCTTGGTCAGATTTGATAGCTTTCAGGAATAAATTAGAGCTCTTATTTAAATAAGCAATCTTCAGCCCAGCATGTTGCCATGAAAAGAGTTTGGTGTAGATCTCAGCTCTTCCACTATAATACCTGTGTAGTTTTGGGCGAATCATCTAAACTCTTTGGGCCTCAATGTCCTTGTTTGTAAAATAAAGAAGTTTAATTAGGTAGCTCTAAATCAATCTTCCTTTGCAAAATTCGAGTCTTGTCCAGTGAATTGAATTGCAACAAAACCCCCTCAGTCCTTACCAAAGTAATTGAGCAGTCTGTAAACTGAAGCCTGAAGATCTCTGTCACCATTTTGTTTAAATGGATAAGTACAGTTAGTCTTTTCTTCAGATATTGTTGTTGGCATGCATTTTTGTATTTAAGTCACTGTTCAAGTATCTGGTA